ATATTTTTCACATACATTTGAAGTCCTTTTTATTTTAATCAAAGAAATGAATATTGCAGTTAACATTGAAGTCTCTCCTTTGTTCCCATCAGCAGTCTCCTCCCTTGCCCTCTCTTGTGACAACCACTGGCACAAATTTAGCACATATACTTCCAAGAATATTTAAAAATATTTAATCAGTAAGAATATTTTCATGAATAATGTGTAGTTTCATGTGTACAGTTGTATGCTGGCCTGCCTTTTTAGGGCAGCCTTCTGGGTTTGGATCTGTTTCCCCATGTTGCTGTCTGTGGAGGGAGCACCTGCCAGAGTCCTCCCATCCAGTTCACCATAGGTAGACTGAAGATGCACTAGGGTTGGGTGTGGCTCAGTGGCCAGCATGTGCAAGGGCCTGGGTGCCATCCCCAGTACTACCATAAAAATAATCATAAACAGATAGACAGCCAGATGCACTAATAACAGCCAGCAGTTACCGTGCCTTCACTGCGCACTGCACTTCTGTGTCTTCTGGTTGAATCCTCACACCCCTGAGTGGTAAGTATATACTATGATCTCCCTCATTCCACACAGGAAATGAGCCTTCAGGGAACACTTCATGCGGTCAGCTTGTGATTCACTCATGCATGTGATCCCCAAGGCTGTGGCCACTGTGATCCCCAGTACTGAAGTCATGGCACACACAAAAGTGAGATGTTAGTAATACTTTGGGGCCCAGGAAATAAATCCCAGGGGACAATGACTAGTCAGTGCACATCCTGGAAGTTATTTGAAGTTCCCTATTGTTCCCTTTGGTGGACAGAGCGCAGGCTAATAGTCACGAAGTCTGGCTTCTGTTGATTCTACATGACATCCACCATGGGGCAGATTACTTACCTCTTGCCTACCTCAGCTTTGTCACCTCTGCAATGGAACTCACCTTGGCTGCCTGTCTACCCAAACAGCTCGTGAACCCCACCATGGTCCAGGGGTGGGAGAGACTTCAGAATGACACACTGGGCCATTTCTCACTGTCCTAGCATGTTCCTGCTTACATCTCAGATTTCATAAGCACAGCAGGATTTAATCTTCATTCCTCAAGCAGTGACTTTAGAAGGATTGTTTTAAATCCCTTGTTTTTGTGGCTTGTTTAATTACTACTATGGCAACAACATAATTTTTTCCCTGTTTTAGAGCTTCAGATATATAATTTTTCAACTTCATTATGAGTTAAATTGAGTTTCCTGGGTGGGTCTGGGAACCCCATCACAAGTGATAACTTTAACTGTGGAAAAATTGCATGTAGGCACCACACAACCAGTTACAATTTGTAGAACAGCACCAGTCCGTGAGCTGGCAACACTGTACTGCTTGTATTGTTCGCTAATTAGTTTGTGAAAGGATAGTTAATCTCCCTCGTGAGATTAGGAACTTCTTAAAGGCTGCAGCACATCTTGCATGGATCCCTCATGAAACCCAGAAGGTGCCAAACTCAAGAATGCATTCAAAAGTATTTATTTAATTCCTGCAAAGCCCAGCTGCCCTGCTGCCCCAGAAAAATGGGTGCTGGTGGGAGTCACTTGGATACCCCTTGTCAGTAGTCATTGCATCAAATACCACCAAACTTGATGACTCATAGATGAGGCCAGGGAAGCAATGTGTCTTATTCATGTTCATTAATTTTCTTGTAATACTTAGTAAATGCTAGTACTGTTGTAGGTGTTTTACATTTGTTAATATGTTTAATCTTCACAAAATATTTTAGATAGTTGTTCTCATTGTTCCTATTTCACAGATGAGGATACTGAGGCCCACAGAAGTTAAGCAGCTTGCCTAAAAGTTCCCAAGACTGTTGAAGGTTCAAACTGAGAATCAAACTCAGGTGCCTGGCACTAGAGCCCAAGCCCTGGTCACCAGGACCAAGCCCTGCTCATAGACCATGAAAAACCAGGATTAAGCCTGCTGTCCTAACTGTAACCCAGTGACCCTCTCCAAAAAGGATCCTTTCCATGGTAATACAGTACTGGCATTTTCACCAGCATGATTTTCAGATCATGACCTGTGATCTGTATTAAATCCTCAGGCAGTAGGCCAGGTTGATAGATTTTTTTTTTAATGTATACATATGCATTCTACCAAATTCAAACAGTACAGAAAAGTACAAAAGTAAAGTAAATGATTCTGAAATTCTTCCACCCAAAGCTAAATCTTTCTTTGGTGCTGGGGATCAAACCCCCGGCCTTATTACACAGGCTAGGCAAGCCTTCCACCAATGAGCTGCAGTCCCAGCCCCAAAGCTGAAATCATGAACAATGTTTTGGCAATCATTCCATTCACTGGCTCTGAATACACATGTACATGACACATATTTACAGATGGACATCACTAGGACCTCATTCTAGATGAATTGACAAGTAAGGAATCTGTAACTTGGAAAAGAGCACTGATTTGTCCTACAGAGTCAGCGAGTGCAGGGTTGGGACTGCAGTCCTGTGTGGAGTTTCTGGTTCATAGTAAACGCTCAAAGAGCACATTTTGCTCTTGTTCAGATCCTTCCTCCAGCCTGGCTCTGAGCTGGGCAGCTGCCACACTCCAGGGGCTCTCCTGGCTTTCCCAGAAGATGCGCTACTCAAGAAGAGGGTCTGGGTGCTTGGGAAGTAGATTATTCGTGTATCTGTCACCAAAACGCAGTAAGACTTGCTGTCTCCTCTCATGCCGTAACTGATGGTGTTTCCTGGCCCTGTGAAGTCTCATGTAAGGCAGAGTCCTTTGAGGCCAACAGTCATTGTAAGTGTGGCTCAGTGTGGTGATGACTGTTCCAAAGCCACTTTGTTGCTTCTGCATTGAGCAGCATTTAGTTTGAAGAGGTTGGGGAAATGGAATCTGGTAGCTTGGGAGGGAGAGGTGCTCATTACCTCATCCTAACCAGCTTCCCTTCCTGCTGATACTTTGCTCTTAGCATTGGTATCTAGTTCTGCTGAAAATGAAATCATATATTCAACTCTCAGGCTCTGTTAGTGAAAATGAACTCTAATGTGATTAGATACTAATGCAATGTAATGGAGGATTGGTATTAAATTGAGACCTTGTGATCTTATTACTCTGCAAATGCTCCCTCCTGCTCAGCCTGCTGCCCTGATCCCTGAGGCCAGGCAGAAGCCTGGTATAGAGAGAGGCCCTGAAAGGAAGGAAAGGTGTGGGAGCCCATCTGCCCAGGACACTCCCAGGCAGACCTCACTCCCTGCCCAGTGGAGGGAGAAGAGGAAAGGCCTCAGGGCCTAATGCTGGGCCTGCCTTTGCCCTTAGAGCCATGCATGCTTCAAGAATGGAGAGCTTCCATGTGCAAAGGCTTATCCTAAATCCAAAGTCACAGAAAGACTGACCAACATGGGGCTACAAAGCTAAGAACAAAAATCCTCATTCTGTTACCTCTCCTCATCCTCCCTCCCACCTCCATCCTTTTGCGAAACAGTGGTTCAAGCCCAGTTATTGTGAAGACCACGCTGTTGTCACTTGTTTTACTTTTACTTCCCTTTCCTGGAGGGTGCTCTGGGAAGCAGGCTGTGGACCAGCTCTGGTGTGCATGCTGTAGCTTCCTTTAGGGTAAAGGTGGTATTCTGAGCCCCACACAACTCCCCTTGCTTCCCTTCCCTGCCAGAGGGTAGAGACTTAGCTCACAAGTGACTTCCAGCCCTGTAGAACCCCACTGCCTCAAAGACCTTCCCAGCCCACAGACTGCATCCCATCCACTGGCTCCTGATAGAGCTGGGGATCTTAGAGGAGCAAAGTCCCTCATCGAAGAAATGGAGGAAGAACTCAAGCCCTGGAGATAGCCAGGTGGCCTTTCCTTTGTGTGTGAATAATAGCGTTTTTATACAGAGAGCAATTTTTCTCATTCTGTTTTCAGAAAACTGCTTTCAGAGGCACAGCCTTTGCACACAGGTTGGTAACGACTTTTTAATGACCTTAAGAGGACTGGTGTCCAGGCAGCAGTGAATCAATCTCAGTGGGAGGTGCATAGTGAGAGAGAAGATGAAGCACCTGAAACCAAAGGGGGAAAAACAAACTGCAAATACATATATTTTCTTTGCTAGCATTGCTTGGTAATTAGACAATTACAGGAAACAGCTTCGCAGCAGCTGGCATTTTCACTGTGTGAGTGGAGGAGGGATGGCAGCAACTGTGAACTCCTCTCATTTATTATAGAAAATATTATTGGAATTTACAGTCATGGGTGCTACGCACTCTGCTGGTGCATTCTGATGAGCTCCTGAACGTTAGGCCAGGAGAGCTCTTCCCCTCAGTGTTGTTGGAGGCCTTCTCAGCTGGCCTAACCCAGGTCGATCCATGCAGAATTGCCTTGAAAATATTGGGTGGGCCACTCCTGAGAGTAGGCTCTGTTTGGAAGCTGGAAAAGGGTGGAGGCCAGCAGAGAACTTGCCTGCCACATGCCGTCTCTAGTGTGTGACCCCACTGGTCTAAGCCCAAGTGTAGGAATTTCCCTGCCTGCGGTGCTTCCACTCTTCTCCCAGGAGCCTCCAGGGCCTGCCCTCACTCATGCATATGTGATGAATTCCCAGGTCCTTCTCCAGAAGCCCTCTGATCTGAGGTAAGTCCTATATTATGATATGGCCTATAATATGGCCCCATATTATTGATGAGGGAATGCATTTTATGAACTCCTACCAACTTTGATTACATTCATATCCAGCTGTATTCTTGTCACGATGTGAATAAGGCCTATGCTTTGTGCTTGTTTTTAGAGGACTTGGTAGGAACCCTAAGTCGCAGTCACAGGCAGTAGGGGTACCTTCTTTGGTGAGATGGCAGGCTTTTCATGGGGCAATGTGTATTTCTTCCCTCAACTCCACTTTAGGGGAGCCCTGCCCCCATCCTTCCTGCAGCACAGGAGCCCCTCCGTCCTCAGGGGATTCTTCCTTTGATTACCAACTACCCCATCAGCTGCTCTGTCAGCAGGGTTAAGTGCAGCATCTAACCAGGCATATGGGTGTTTACTCTCACAGGTCCTGGCAGTCAGTTACTTTTGAAAGACAACCTGCCTCCTTCATCCGCATTGTTGGAACACACAACACAGCAAATGAGGTAAGGCTCTCTTCATGAGAAGTGTCGTGACACTTTCTGATGTCTAGGTCAACACTGTATCCGAGTGTTTGCTTTGCCTACAAATGGCCTGTTGTGACAGCTCTACAAAAGTCCTGCTCCTGCCCAGTGGGGCTATCATTATTGTGTCTGGATATCTCTCCACTAGCAAATGAAAGCCAACACCTACTGCTTGGCTTATTCCTCCAGCCTCTGCAGGATCTGCCACCACAGACAACTTGAGAGGTCAAACACCCTGCTCTGGCCCACGCCTCAGAGTCCTTGGCCCTCTGAGCATTGTATCTTGCAAATGGCTGCGCTGTGGGCTTGCTTTGCTTATCCCTCTCTCACTTTTATGTCATCCCATATGCAGTGTTTACCTCAGAAGGACCTCTGGTTAAAGAGAGGACACATCAGAGACGAGGAGATAGAAATTCCATAGGTAACGGAGAAGCATTAAAAGTAGTTACCAATCTGCAGTTTCACCTTCTGTGGTCTTTCTCAGTTATGCAAAGGTGTGCCACCAGGACAGTCATATGAGGCCCCATGCTTAGGACTTAATGCTCTGTGGCTCCATCTTGAAATTCTTGGTGTTTTTACCTTTGAGTTGTGTTTCCTAAGAGAAGTGTCTATGGGACATGGATTCCACAGCAGAGGATCATGGGCCCCACCTCCTGCCTCTTAGCTCCTTCCCCAGTACTGGTTGTCAGGCATCTGCTTGCTGGGTGCTGACATAGGTGCTGGAGGCTGGGATGAGGTATGAATCTCAAATGCCAGTCCTAGGAGAGGGCTCTGGACTCTACCAGCAGCTGGCCCAAGGGAAAGCCTGTGCCCATGGGAGTACGACATTAAGTAGGAGAGGCCTCAGAAGAAAAAAGTGTTTTTTCCGCTTTTTGAAAATAAGGGCTCTAGTTTCATTCAGCAGCTGGCCCCACTCATTTGTGCATTGTATTCATGGACTCAGAATTCTCAGAGCATGTCAAGGTATGTCTGGTCCTTCAAAAAATACTTTATAGGACTGGGGGTGTGACTTAAGCTCTAGGCTCTAAATTCAAACCCCAGTACTTTTCACTTTAAAAGGTGAAAATGTGATGATTTAGATTCATTTTGCCCTTATATTTAGAATCTAAGTGATCCTCACATACAATGTGTTTCGTGCAGAGAAGAGCTTGTAAACAGAAACCCAAACGTTTTCTCTTACCTCCTCACAACAAACCTGGAAGTTATAATAGTAAACCAGTTGCTATTTTTGAAAGCAAAATTCAAGAATTCTAAAAATCATTATAAAAAGCACTTTTTTCTTTTTTGCATGTATAATAAATAGAACCTAATTTGAATCTGTATTTTAATATATATCTGAGCCCCAACCCAAAATATTTTTTAAAATTTTGCCAATAAATTCCAGGTTTTTTTACCACTTAAGGTATGGTAATTATGTGTTTATTACTTACTAAATGTGAAAAAATGAAGTTCATCTTTATAAGTAACATACTGAACTAAAATCACATACTGTTTTCATTTGTACTTCTAATACAATGCATCTCCCTCCAAAAGACTAGTTTTTCACTTTAATGCTGAAGTGGACCTCTGAAACTATGTGTGCAGTAAAAGGAATTCTCAAATCAGAAAGGCTAAGAACCTCTGATGCAAATCTGGTTGGGGTCTCTTCCCGATCATCTCACGATCAAAAGAAGGAAAAAAACTCTTAGACATTATGTTTCAAAGCTTTTTTTTTTTTTAAACTCGGGGCCTGGTCTTTGCTAGGCAGGTGCTGTACCACTTGAGCCACACCCCCAGCCCTTTTTGCTGTAGTTATTTTTCAAATAGAGTCTTGTACCTTTTTGCCTGCACCAACCTGAACCATATTTATACTATGTGCATGCCACTACTACCTGGCTTATTGGTTGAGATGGGGTCTCACTAACTTTTTTGCCCAGGCTGACCTTGACCCTCATCCTGTGGATCTAGCTGGTATTACAGATGTGAGCCACGGAGACAAACCTCAAAGCTACTTTTTTTTCTTTCTTTCTTTTTCTCTTTCTTTCTTTCTTTTTTTTTGTAGTACTAGAGTTTGAACTCGAGGCCTCAAACTTGTTAGGCAGGTGCTCTACTACTTGAGCCACTCCACCAGCCCTTTTTTGTGTTGGGTATTTTTGAGATAGGGTCTCACAAACTATTTGCCTGGGCTGGCTGTGAACTTTGATCCTCCTGATCTCTGCCTCCTGAGATTACAGCTAAGACTATAGGCATGAACCACCAGTAGCTGGCTTTCAAAGCTACTGATGAAGAATCACTTCCTATTACAAAACTTCAAAGTTGGCATGAAAGATCTCTCTTCATGATGAGTTTCCCCCAAATATCTGTGTGAGTAGGGCCTCAGCCATTTGGGAGTCTGGGCCAGCCAGTTTGGATAGTCTGGCTAGTAGACACTATTTAATTGGTGATCTGTATCATTTGGCTGATGAGTAACTTGTTAAACTGCCTTATTGAATCAGTTATTGATCAGGAAAATTAAAGCCTCAGTGTAGTGTTACCAACTGGGAGTGATCTCAAATCATAAAACACATGATAAACAGGTCCGTAAGGCAAGATCAATGAACTTCCACTCTCAGAGCCACAAGAAGGCACAATAAGGTTGCAATTCCGTGGGCATGGAGGGGTGGCAGACTCTGGGAGAATGCACTTTGCTGGGACATCACGTGGAAGAAACGGTTTCTTCTTAAAGGATAGTGGAAGTGCAGAGTTTTGAGGGATGGTCCTCCTTGAGGAAAAGATGCCTTGGCCAGCTGGAAAGATGGTATTCCTGGAGACAGCTCTAGAGGAGAAAGGAAATGGCCCAGGCAGGAGGACACTCACTGCTGCATGGGGGCACAGACCAGGACTAGAGGCTGAGAATGAGAGCCCAGGACTCCTCTTTCTCACCATGGAGGGTGTCCTGGAGGCCTGGGAAATGGAGTTTTACTCATCTTGTCCCCACTGGGCTGCAGGCCACTCTAGCTGCTGAGTCAGCTTGGGCTGCTATAGCAGAACCCCACCAACTGAGTGCCTAAGTCAGCAAATGCTTCTTCGTAGTTCTGGAGGTTGCCATCTGGAGCCAGGGTACCCACAGGGTCTGGCTTTTGGTGGAACCCTCTTCTCTTCTGTCCTCACATGGCCTTCCTTGGTGCATGCACTCAGAGAGAGAGAGAAACTTCTGATACACTCTCCCTTCCTGTATCCTCTACTGTGTCCCCATGCTTATGATCTCATCTAACCTAATCACTCCAAAGCCTCACCTTCTGGTGCCATTCAACAGGGTGGGGGGTGGGGGGGTGGGAGCAGGATTTCACCACATGAATCTGGGGAACACAGGCATGCAGTCCATGACAGTGGTCTTTAGTTTAGAGATAGGACTTGTTTTCCTCTAGTTTCTCGGTGCTTGTGAATACAAAGACTGTGTTAACTTGAAGAAGTATAGGTGGGATTGGTTTTTACCATGACAGGCAAGACTGTCTTTATGCATAAAAGAAAGAAAGGTGGTGGTGAACTAACTTCCTGCCACATCGCCCAGCTGGGCCTACTACCACTACATTGGGAGGGGTGGCCAGAGTAGGGGCTCCTGGGAGTGGGAAGGCATTCAGAGGAAAGGGTGCTTAGGCTGTTTTGGCAAAAGATGAGAAATGGCCTGGACTGTGTGTAAGTAGCCAAGAGCTGCCCACCGTTCAGAGAAACCCTAAGTGGTTCCACATGTCCCAAAGCCCAGTGAGTTGACAGCTCCACAGCCATGACTGTGGATACTGCCTCAGCCTCCAAACAGCTAGCTGCCATACCCAGAGGGCATAGAAAAGGCTCCTGAGTCAAGATAGGCCAAGATTTTGTGCTCATCTGGCTTGGGCCAGGCAGGCCCTCCCACATAGAGAGAGAGGCTCAGCGTCCATCTGCTGCACGTGATTTCCCCAAACGCTCTCAGATGGCAGCAGCCACACAATCTGTGGAGGCTCCGATTTCCTGGTCACCTGTTTGGGCATGCTTCTGATTTCCTTCATCCTTCTATCCCTCTCCTCTGGGAAGTGCACATCTGTCGCTGGCATCTGTCTGTGATCTTTTGTGAACATCACAGCAATTAATTCATTTAGTTTTTAGCTACATTTATGACTTCTGTCAGTAAATTCCCCTACCACTTACCTCCTCCACTTTCCTCCATGACCTCCTGCTCCTCTGTCCTCAGTTCCTCAGCACACTCGCTTGTCTTTTCCCTTCCTGCCAGTGTGTGTGTTTTCCTCCATTGCTCTCTTCCCTGTGCTCAACCTGGTTCTCACACATCTCTTATTTCTCTCCTTTACCCTTGAAAGGTTTTCCATATCTGCCCATTTGCCTGTTTCTTTTGTCTTCCTCCCAGTCTCTTACTAGGTGGCAGACCCTTGTCAGCTTGTCTTTCAGCACATCTACCTACCCTTAGGTTGTTCTCAATCATCTGATGCTCCCCAGGGTCTGTGGCCAGAAAGTTCACTCCTGGCTATTTCCTCAGTCACTTTTTGGTGGTCTCAGTGGCCAACGTGGCAAACACACATTCATTCCCATGTGGTTGTCCACTCATCTCCACTGCTGATCTGTTCTGAGCACCTTGAAGGGGGTGAGGCAGACATTGCTCCCCTTTCTAAGTCTCTCCACTATGGAAAAGGTTAGAAAATTGGCCCTGTCAACACCATCAATGTTGTAGACCTATAAAACTTAGTCAGCTGTATTAAAAGGAATAGGAGTTATGTTTGTTTTTTTTTTTATGACTTTTCTGATAATCTGGGTTTGGGAGAAAGCTATTGGTTGACAAGAGCTCAAAAGAACTGTGAGAAAAGTGAACTTTTGGCAATATAGACAGGTTACTGCTCACAAGAACCCACGTGAAAGCTTCTGCCGAGTCGATAGCAAACCCTGAGGATGGTATTGATGGCTGCACACAGCCCTCAGGTTCTGTCTTGCATATTGGGTTTGTGTAGGGAGGGGAGAGGCTGTGTCTTTTTAATCTT